CTCATTAATTCAAATCAGCTCTTTCAAAACCCCAAACACAGACTGATGTCATCAAGCCGATCTGCCATTTAAATAACAAACCGCTGCATTGTGCTGGTTTGCTCCATGAGGTAGCTTTTAGGTGCACAAGCGGTGTGGTTAGCAAAGGATGAGGAGATTCTAATTGGCTACAACAAAGCTGTTAACTTGGCAGATTTATTTCTTGGACCAAAGGAATTCTTCATAATGCCATTTCTAACTGATCAGCTCAGGTTAAAGCATTTTTAGCTCCAGGTAACCGGCACTGGTGGGCGTTGTCATCTGGCTCCTTTTATGACCACTACATCTTAGTATGCTACCACACGAAAGGTAGTCACACCGTTTTTAGTTCACAATTACATGGTGCAGGGATAGAGAATCCCAACATTTGGAGTGTGTTCAAAATAAAACCATTTGCTTGGGTGCAGCGTGTTGTCGCTTGTCCCCACAAGTCCAGTAGCAACACTTGAACAGGGTAACAAAATATGACGCTGTCTGAAATGGCCTGTTCTCAAAATGTTAAAGTGTTGGATTATCATTATCCTTTTTTTCCAAGTGGTTCCCAGTGGGAAATCTTTGAAGGCTGTGGGCGTAGTGAAAGACTAAGGCATGTGTCAGGCCTGCAGCTCTTCTCATCGCCTACATTGTGCAGCCAGCCAGCAGGCGTGGCAGCAGAAGCCTCGCGGCCGTCAAGGAGCTGTCCAGCCGCTGCCCAGATGGAGAGGCCTCGCTGAGTTTGCACGCAAGATGGCAGCCACAATGCTACTATTATGCTGGGCAGCAAGATCACTAGGAGGGAGGGGATGTGGTGGGTTGCCTCTATCATAGCTCAGCAGGTGCTGAACAGAGAAGATACAGGAGTAACAAGGCAGTAGTGAAAAATACTAAGGGTCGATGATGATTGTGGGCTTTTTTCTTGCAGGTGCTGACTTTTCTTTTCTTTTTTTAGAGGCAACCCAGTTTTTTTGTGGAATTTTTTCTTACAATTTTGGTCAGTTTTCTTCAAACAGTGGGGATTAGTATGACAAATAACCTAAACCCTATGGAGAAATGACAGTCAGAGCTGAAATAACTCGTTCACTACTAAATTCATCAACAGACAAAAAAATTAATCTGCAGCAATTTTGACAAGGGATTAATGATTAATGTCCGAAGCAAATGCACTTGACATTTTACTGGTTTTCCCTTCTTATTTTTTTTAGGTGTTTTTGTCAGTCCTTTGTGAGAGTAAGCTGAATACATATAGATTTGGACTGTTGACGTTGTTGAACAAACCATGCAAAATGAAGGCATTCATTTGGGGTTTGAAAAACGAACATTTTTCACTATTTTTGACATTTTATCGGCAGAAAAAACTGCAATTAAAATAATCATTAGCTGCAGCCCAAAGACATGTGCAATTATCAGTGTTTATATTTTAACAGGACCATTTTTGATCTAATTAGGAGCATGATGAGAAGGCAATGCAGCAGCATCCTCAACAGAAATCAAACAGAGAGACAGTCCGCACAAACAACATCTTCATCATTTACCAGCTGGAAAAAAATGTAACTGCTGCACCTCGCCAACAACTGTGTACAGTACTGTGGCATGATGCACCTATTCTCTCTCCACAGAATTTAAAAAGAGGAAGCAGTGCAGGTGCAGTGCAGATCCGCTGCCTGTTTCACTTTCTGTCACTCTTCCTATACAAGTGGACCGTGCATGACTTGCCACTTTGCATCTTGCAAGGTCTACAGTAAAAATGCATTACTCAGAATGTGCACACACCTTATCAGCCGCAATAAAATACATCATAATGCACACAGTGTGTTTGGATAGACACTCATGTGCTTCTAGTAACTCATTGCTCTTCATTTTACAGCTACGAACGCACCACACCAGACTGCTGAAATGCACACAACCATGAAATAAATCATGCTGAATGCAGCTACGCGGAATGATGTGATACAGCCTATTGTATGTCTTGCACCACCTGTGATGTCCTGTTGCTCATGAGGGTCAGTATACCGTTGAGCTCTGCACCAAAATCACCGCGATAAATCTCTCCCCCCGTTATTGCACTTGCTGATTAAAAAGACAGTGGGCATTGGAGAGAAGAGTCTGGAGGGGCAAAACGAGCTAAACGCGGTCATTGTGTCGAGGTCAGCAGGGCTTTGGACAGGCTTCAAATGTGCAATGAGATGGTCAGTGTACAGACAGAGGAGCCATTACTTCCCTGCTGAGCACATAAGCCCAGCTCAAAGCTTACCATGAGACAGTAACACAGCTCAGCTCCTCACAGCTTTAAGGATCGAACAGCCAGCGCCCCCGTCTCTTATAACTCATCGCTAAATAGACGGGAACCGACGTGTAGCTAGGCCTGCAGACTTGTCCTGTCACCTCTAGTCCTCGTCAAGCTGCACCTCGATTAGACTACTCCATTCTAGCCATCAGTCAGTCAGTGACATGGGTAGAACGCTATTGACAAAGAGAAGATAAGGAAAGAGTGAACTAAGTGCGGTCGAAAGTTTCATCCGTGAGGCTTCGGCCACCTTATTAGATCGGTTCGACTTTCCAGATAGAGCGCTGCAGTCTCACTTCTCAGATCAGAGTCAGTTTAGAGGGCTGGTATGTTACAGTATGACCTGAAATAAGATATTATCAGCTTAATGCAAGTATGGCATTTACCTTACATAGAAATCACATGAATTTATATATGAAATTTTTTTAAAAATTCTCTGCATTTACTCTTAGAGGAGACTCCTGATGCACTGTGTTGTACATCCTAGTGTTGCGGCAGCAGGTTAGCCATGGCAGACACAGCATATGGATTCCTAACATGTTGCAGTCTGGTTCACCAGATACCTCTGGGGATAATGAATGCCAAGCTCTCACACACCCACCTCGCTCCAACCAATCTCGGTAACAGATTTCTCTAATAGAAAACCCAAAGCTGCCGTGCTGCCTCATCAGGACTCTGCACTCACTTTACTGGCATGGGAGTTAAGACAGGTGGGCATGAAAACACGATAACAACCATCTGGGAGCAAAGTAACAAACAAAGGAAACCTTTCCTTACAGCTGATGTTTTTTCTCTCAAATTGCAATTAAGGAGTCACCTCTAAGCCATTACATAATAAAAACAGAGTTGTGTGATTTAAGTACCAAGAAGAACCAACCCAACTATCTGTCCAATCAGTCATTTTGCCAGCGTCTATATCCAGATTAGAATGCAAACGCTAATCGCTGGTCAAACCTGCTGAGGCAATCAGTTATTAAAATAGGCAACAAGATCTGGACAGATGATACCACAGATTTTGAGTTACCACAACACGCTAACATGTCAGATAACAAGCACAGGCACTGAGATAATAAGCTAATCATATGATTTGTTCCCTGAAAACAACCCAGGAGTGAGATCAGAACTGATTAGGCGTGCTACAAAGCAGAGCAGTCAGAGAGCCCTCACCTAAACTACATAGGAACACCATGTAAAGTAACAATACACTACAGCGACTACACTGCTTTTGTCAGTCATGCCATGGCTTGCAAAGGTATGTACATTTCAACATTTCAGACAGACTGTTACCTTGAAGCACTGAGTAAGGAGCTGATGCCAAAGCTGCAGCAGACCTTATGCTGGTGCATTTCATGAGCTACCAATTACATGGGGGAAAAAAAAAGTATGGATATAATCGCAGCTATTGATGATGCATTTCATGTCGCTTAACCTGATTTTGCCAGCATCCACCCTCTGAAAGTGTCCTTGAGCTGGAAATGGAGTTGAACCAGTTCCCAGATGGTGTTCTGTTGCTTAACCTGACCTCTGACCTCTCTGTTGAAGATGCCAAGAGAAAAACTATTTCCCTGAGGGATGAACAGAGTATCACAGTCTCATAACAACATCACAACAGTGCTTTAACGGTTATCTGTTGTCATTAACTACATGATAACTCCGTCGTAACTGTTTCTTCTGCACATTTAGATTCAATGACATGCATTCCCCTAAAACCAAGAGAAATGCTAATGGTTGTAACGACAAAGATAATTTTCCAGTAAAATATGTTCAGTGGAGAGATCAATGTTTCCTCAAGGCAAGGGGCTGGACCTCAGCTCGATCCCTGTGATCTAGTGCATCGCGGAGGAGGTTACAATTACTGGGTCCATTATCGGACACAGCATTTTTTCGTGCTTGCAGTCCTTATTTTTAAGCAAAATGCTAAACAATGCTAAAGGGCCAGACCACAGCGGCTGCACAGGTGTAAAATGCAAAGGGCTGTTATTTCAACGACACACTGGCTGACCCTCTATAATCACATCCACCATATTTTATACAATTCAAATTCAGTCATTCGCCTCTAACACAATGTTGCATGGTTCCCTGTTGTACTGACTTCCCTACAGTAATGGATCACACCGTGTCAACAGGGAGGAGAGCCAAAGAAAAAGGTCAACAACACAAGGCGTGAGGCACGACCGAGGTGTCCGACTATGGAATCAGAGGAGAGAAAAGGGGGTGACTAGGAGGATTTGGGCACAGCCGCAAAATCGTCCATAATACGAACTTAACTGTGGGCAACACAAACGAACAACAACATAATTTTAGCTTGCTTTGTCCGTGTGTTTTCTGTTCTACTGTCAACTCTTACTAATGTATTGGGGAGTAGACAACAGAGGTAAAATCTGGTAAAACCTAGCATAACGCTAAATTGTGTCCGATAATGGATCTCATGACGTTACACTGCACGTTAACTAGCAGCTAATGCTAACGCTCTCAGTCAGGTTTAACGTTAGCTCCACACAGCGGCACCAGCTCACAACAAAGCATTTTAATGCTCTTTGTGAGCGTAAAGTAAAGCGGAGGCTAAAACCGACCACAGAGCCAAAGATAATGACATTGCCTTGTGCTCTATCCGGACCCTCCTCCTGCTAAAAACGTTGCAGCGGCAGCAGCAGCAACAAACCGAGACAAAACAGTCACTGCGCTGTGGCCAACTCACCCAAAAGATACCCGGGTGCTGTCGAGCAGATGTGGCTGCAAATTAGCGATGAAGGCCCATTAGGATGACTCCTGCGGTCGGGGCGCATCCAGGTTGTGCGGAGTGAAGATTAGACAATCCCAAACGTGGCTTTGCTTTGACGGTTGTCTCTCCTGTGTCCGCATATGTGTGTATGTTTGCGTGTGTGTATCGCGAGCCGTGCGAGGCCTGCTGCTGGAAGGAAATGGTCTCCGCTCCGTCAGAGCAGAGCGCATGCGCAGAGCGGCAGCCCAGCCACAGGGTGAGCGGTGTGTGAGCGCAGCCGTGTGGACAACAGGTGACTGTCAACTGATGGAGGACTTGTTACAGCGGGAGGCTTCCCCTCAGCTAACCGGCCGCCTGTTACACTTCTTACAGGTGTGGCAGGTCCGATTTATCCCCCGCCAATCTATACCGGTGTATGACCTGGGCCAAAATATACCTCAGAGTATAAAATAGTTGGTTTATACAGAATACAGATTATTGCCAAGTGAGCTGCCACACACAAGGAATTTGACATGGTGAATAAAAACTGTGGCACACAACAATAACAAGAGAGGCAATAAATATAGAAATCTAAATCTAAAAAAAATCAAAATGAAATGTTATATGTAAAAGAAAAGTATAAAAGCACTATGTAAATAAAAAGTACTGTGTAAAAGAGACAGAAAAGAATAGAATACTTTTTTATTGTCATCATACACAAAGTACAATGCAATTAAAATATAAAAACATAAACTTGACTAAACCAGACTAATAAATTAGAAAACAGTTTAAATTACAATATTGCACATGAAATTGCAGAACTGCACATGTCATGATAATGTACAGAGGTAGAGTAACAGGAGTCTTTAATAATTTAGTGACTGATTGTTCACGAGAGATATGGCCTGAGGGAAGAAGCTGCTCTGGTGCCAGGATGTTCGGGTGCTTAGAGACCTGAAGTGCCGGCCAGAGGGTAGCAGGTCACAGAGGTGTGCTGGTTTATATGCTCAGGACAGATGATTTAGCCTAGTCCAGATTATACCTCCTTTGTGTTTTCCTTATATAAATCTGTATTTCAATGTTCAGGGTTTCTTTCCAATCTAAGTTTTAAAAAATAGCATGCACCTTCAAGGTTTGCTGTTGATTTTTTTTACAAATCAGTAGTAATATCAGCGGCAATATTACTACTTGATCACATTATCAAGGCAATGTGATGCTTCAGTCTGTGTTGCTATTTCACATCATTATAAAACTAAGTTTCCATAGATTTTGGTTGAATATCAAGATAGGACACATTAATTGTGGCTGTGGGGGGTCAAATACTTAATTTCCTGCATTCTTGTGAATTGCTATACGCTGGCTAGTAACTTCTGTGCATTGATTTAAGGTGGAAACAACTTTATTTATGTAAAGGAAAACACTAACATCAGGCAACAGGTGATAATTCAAAATATAATATAATACAATGCAGTAAGAAAGTGGCGCAGTGGTTAGCATCATTGCCTTGCAGCAAGAAGGTCGCCGGTTTGAGTCCCAGTGAGGACACCCGGGATCTTTCTGCCTGGAGTTTGCATGTTCTCCCTGTGCAGTGTGGATTCTCTCCGGGTTCTCCCACAAGGTCCAAAAACATGTTGAGGTTAATTGGTGATTCTAAATTGTCCGAAGGTGTGAATGTGAGTGTGCTTCGTTGTCTGTCTGTAAGTGGAGCCCTGTGATAGACTGGTGACCTGTCCAGGGTGTCCCCTGCCTTCGCCCTGAGTCAGCTGGGATAGACTCCAGCCCCCCGCAACCCTAGTGAGGATTAAGCAGTGTATGGACAATGTAGTAAGGCTCCTGCGTTCAAACATTCATTCATGACCAACTTTAATATTATCCCTGCTGAACATGGGCATGATTTACTCCTCTTATGTGTCTTCAGTTTGGAAACAATGCTTACATTCTAAATATTGAGAGGAGTGTATCCCCTGCACCCTTCTGAAATCTTCCCCTATGTGCACGTGATACAAACATCTGGATATAAAATGAGTCCCATATTCATTGGATGTCACTTTGTTCGATTATTTGTTTGGGAATGTGCACTGTATTATTGCCAGTTTAGTTCACTTGTTTAGGTCACTGTAAATATATACATTTATATATGCCTAAATAAACCTCAACAACTATTAACAGGTGTGCAATAGCACCCCCTCATGGTTGTATCTAAAATCTTTGGGCTTCACAGCAGACAAACTCTACATAAAAAGTGAATCAACGGTGTAAATACGTGCTTTAATAACGACTACTCATTGCAGCACCGCATTTTCATTAAGGAAATGTGCACAAACCATGGTCCTGGAGGTTGAAAATGAAATGCAGCCACACTTGAATGTCCCTCTGGTAAAAATGTCTTAGTTTTTTACACTTTTAATATGTCCATATTGAGTTTTCTCATACGCTTAAAGACATATCATGAGCAGTAAACACCACAGCTGAAATGTTCCACCTTCAAACTGCAGTGTTCTGATAACAGTGTCAGAAACATGGATTCAGATTTTTGGGGTTTTATAATTTGCCAACTTGGCAATGCTGTCGACATATTGTCTTTAGATTTGGTTTCTGGTCCGAACATGTACGGCTGAATTACACCAATATTACAACATTATTATCTTAATGGTAAGTCATAGATGAGCCGACATGCTCGAGCTGCAGTATGTGGTGAGAGTTTTGCGGTGACAGATCAAAGGATTTCATTTTAAAAGAAGCAACAGTCTAGAGTTACATTTAAGCCATTTTAAGGCAGAAAGGGATTATTTTCATTAAAAAAAACAACTTCTCAATAAATTCTGATAGACAGAGATGAATTTTAGGGGTCAAATCAATGACTGGACAGAGACTTTCTTTATCATTATTATACTCTTGGTTACAATGTATTGCTACAATGAAGATCTCTGTCAAATTAGACTACAAAACAACAACTACAAAAACTATTGTTGCCCGGTGTGTTAGGGTCACTGACCTAAATGAACGCAGTGCTCAAATATTATGTCACTGAAAGCAGCGGAGAATATAAAACTGTGAATATCAGGCATCTAAATCAAGAACATGTTCGATTACCTGCACTGAGAGGAAAAAAAGCAGCAACTCATAGTTTACTTTGCACCATTATTAGAAAACACAATGAGTCTTTCTTGAGGAAGAAATAAGATCAGGTCCAAATATCTGCTGTGAAGACATTCAAACATATTATAATGTGCATAACAACCTCATTGGAGTTATTAAGCATTAAATCTGAGCCCTTCATGCCTTAGCTGTAACTCCATCCCATTACTACCTCTAGAACATGCAGATCTGCTAATCACTGCAGCTCAAGCACACCAGCTCACTTATGATACTCCCTAAAACTACTCCCTGTTATGCAATACAACGTTTATATTCACCAGAAGGGGTCTTTTTAAGTAAACTGTCCCTGCCTGAAACACACTCCAGTATAAGAAGTCATGTAAAGGTTTTATGAAAAAGTGTTGGTCAGTATCACAAGTAAAGTAACTCACTCAGTGGCAGGTGACATTCGTAGTTCATCACTGTGGAGTTCATTCTATCGCTTTTATTGGTAGTTCAATGTAAAACAACATTATAGTTTATAAAGTCATTACAGATTTTAAATTATAATAACCAAACTAGTTACCACAAAACAAACCTGTCAAATTAATAGTGTATAAAACTTGCAGTATGTGCCCACTGTCACCCTGGCAACCGCATGATCACAAGATCCAGGCTGTATATTTAGCAGTTTGAAACATTTTAACAATACTTTGCCTGGTGGTTCTTGTGTGTATCTAAAGCTACACTTAATAAAATGTATGGTCAGCCTTTATGGTTATTCATAACAAAGCCACTGATGTGACCGCAAAGTACCACTTACTCTTATAAATTTATTTTCATTTCATTGGCATCCTTTCTCCAATTCCCCTCACACCACTAAATCTCAAGATCAGACTTATCCATGATCAGACGTACACAGTATTTTTATCATGAACATAATTTGATCACAACCATGACCATATTATAAATGTGTTATTTACTCTTTGCTACAATGGAGAAGAAAAAGAACAGTGCAGAAAAGACTGCTTTACCCCAATTTTCCAGGATAGTTTTAAATATTTATTTTATATTAATATTCAGATCTGTTATTTAGAACTTTGTAGAAACACCATCAGATTAATGTATTCTGCCTTCCTCTAGCAGCTTTGTACAAAAGCTCTGGGGAAGTATCTGGTTTGGTCTCAGGAGGTCAGGAGGTACTATTCTCAGATTTCAAAGCTGTGAGTTATAACTCCTCCGTTCACCACAAATGTACTGATTCCTTACGTTTTGTGGCAAAATAACCACTGTGATTCCATAACAAACGTAACCATTTTCTCGCAAATAAGCAAAAGGAGAGCAAAAAGAAAAGTATTTAGAGACCTGCCATAAGGTACAAAATAAAGGGATTCATTAAATACAATATGTATTAAGTTAATCTGGTTAAATGTGAGATACTAGAAAGCCTATCTGTCCCTCTCTTGTTTGTACTCACTGTACTGCAGTCTGAGTGGCCCGAAAAGAAGTTTATTAAACAGTGAATTAAGAGCTCTCAAAAGCACTTCTTGTACAGTTTCAGAGGCGCATGACTTCCAATCTAACGATACAGCTGTTTTCTTTGTTCCAGTAAAGTTGACATTTTGCTGAAAGCTTTAATACAAGGTCACTATGCCAACCAAAAAATGAGAGAGAGAGTTTCTTAGGGCGCCTGAATCTGATGAGTGAAAATGGAAAGTGTTTAATCATTAGTTTTTTTAATACAGCCAACTAGTCATAATCCCTGGAGATAAACCTGGCTCAGGATGTTTTAAGGTCCCTGGAATGTGTGCTAAAAATTTCTGTTTAATCTGCAGGACTTCAGAAATACAGAAAAAATAAATCCTCCAGGAATGTCTGCTACCATTTTTTTTATTTTCAGTGTCAGTGGTTATGAACTCAAGACACCAGTGCACCAGTGTAAAGTAGTGTCATCAGAGTAGTGTAAATGCTTTTTTTTTTCCATTTTTCATACATTATTCCTGAGATGTAGTCAAAAAATAAATACAAATATAGATTCTATATAATATCACCTTTTCAGGAAAACATGCTGCAACCATTGTTTGACAAAAAAGCACCTATTTGAGTACAAAAAAAAAAATAATGCAATAAATTGAAAGACAATGGACACAGATGTCAAGTGTGGAAGCTGAATGGCAGTTCTGGATTGGCAGACAGCTTTAGGCTGAACTGTGCTCCAGGTCACAGGTCAGAACCAGGCTCCACAGGCAATCTAAAGGAGGAAACAGGAACTGTGTTTCTGCTGCTGTGACTGACCACGGGGTCAGAGGTCGAAGATAGACTCACAGTGGTCAGCATTTTGTAAACATATTCAAATCATCACAGTGCCCTTATCAAAACATACCAAAGAACAGGAAACCTTTCCCTTTCAAAAACAAGAGGTGCCGCACGCAACATGTGGCGACTGCTGAGGCGACAAACCTGCAGTTCAGTCTCTCATACCAGGCTCCTAAATTAGTCAAAAACTCATATACACAATGTAACAAAGATTTTTGGTCATTTAGTTGCTCTTCCACATTCACAATGTTTTGCACTAACTGTGGAAAATAAGACCACTCCCTTGTAGTGTACAAATATACAAACTCTGTTATGCCGGGTGCAGAGGGATGACAAATTTACATCCAAAGGGCGAGTGGTAGTTGATGCCAACTTCTTGGTAAACCAGCTTAGGGATGCCAATGTCACAGAGGTACACTCTAGTGTCGTTGTCTGCCAAAGGTAGTGGAAGTCCTAAAGAGAGGGTCCACTTTGCCTCGACAGTTTGATGCTGCTCACTGACCGCAGGATCGATACTCAGGACTGGAGCTCGGTTCCTGTTGGCCCAGTCAGCAGCTGATTGGTACCAGGACTGCTCCCTCAGCAGCAGGTTCTCGTGGCAGTCCAGGCAGTTGATGACCAGATCGACTGGGCTCGCAGGCAAGTCTGGGACACAAGCACAATCAAAGAAAGTGTTTTAAAGGTTACTTCATTTAATGATACATTTGTGGTGAATGTGATCCCACTCCAAACCGAACATGGAGACTCTTCAGGGATCTATAAATGTCAAAACAAGTGTCAAATATGTTCATCAAAACAAGGGCTGAAATTGGCAGCTCCTCCTAAAAAACCTTAGTGCATCAAACTAGTTGGTCATGTAAGCTGTCTCTGTGTTTCCAGATTTCAATCCAAGCCTGAGAGCATAAATAATCATAAATTAAGACCGATTTCTCTCATGTTAATTTAAGAAAACAAGACATTACCCGAGAGATAAAACTACAGTGTTCAGTTTGAGCTTTCAAGTACAAAATGATTCAGGAGTGTGTTAAAGCATGCGACTCCACTAGAGGGCAACATTTGTCAATGCTTGTCTGCTCTAACAGGTTCGGATGAACTAACATTTGCACAGGTTGTCAATCTCACCCACATATTCCTCTCCGCTTGAATAACTGAAAGTTGTGCAGACAAGGACTGAATCGTCTCGATACTCTGTGCTGGTGAGCTCTACCTTTGACGCTGGCCACCTGCTTGCCGCTTGTCCTGCTGTAGAGGTTGACTTCGCTAGTAACTGACTCCTGCATCTTCACAAAGTTGGGCAGGAACAAGATGACCTCCACCTCATGGTTGGCCAAGTGTCTGCCACAGCTGATGCCTTGGGCTCCCTGAATATGGGGCCCACACAGAAGGACCACGGAGGGCCTCTGATGGACGTTTTTTGGGGTGAGCCTGGGGACAGTGGAGAGACGACAACCATTACTCACCACTGATGCAATACTTGTGTCATCAAATAAACAGCATTAAAACCACCATTTCAGACGCAGGTTATGCTGGACTAAATCTAACACTCTAAACCAAGTGTTTAGCAGCGAGACCTCCAGTCAGTCAGTGCACACTGCTTCCATGTGCTGTCCTGAATCTACATATACTGTCTACTCATGTCATTCTCTTTGCAACTGTATAAAGGTTTTAGATGATTGTACGATAGAAAAACATGTTTTTTTGTGAGTGTAAAAGCCAAAACAAACAAAACAAAACACAAACATACTTGCAACAGACTGGCGCCTAATTAAAAAATACAAATAAAAACAATTAGATACAGTAGAGGAACATAAAATGGCAATTGTTTTATCTATGAAAAACTGTCCATATATTAAAGATTGATCAGAGCCCCAGAGAGATTCAGACAATTTCAGCTAGGCATCCACCTGTGCTGCTATTTACCATAGCTAATTGTAGAAAGTAAATATGTAACTGCTTCAATTTAACTTCATAGAATCTTGTAGCTAGTTTTAACTTTGGTATAAAAGCTGCAACCCACCAGGGGATGACGGCACTTCGCTAAAGCACATGAACTGTGGAAACCTTCCTATTCATAATCACATTTTATTAAAAATCTGATTAGAAATTAATTACTGTTTACACAAGCGGCCAATTATTTGGAAGCTAAATTAAATCTTGTGTGTCTCTGCATGTTTTAATATGAACTGAATGACTAAAAAATGAACTGAGAGCCTGTTGGCTGTCAGTAAAACAGCAGGATACCACTTAACATCTGTGATCCTGTCAAAACAATACAAAACTAAACTTGATCTGAGCTCCCAGCAGCTCCAGCGTAAATCTGAGACATGCAAGTATTGCTGTGCTAAATTGAAAAAAACGATCTGAGACAATAAACCTGTTTGTTATATGAGCTACTGCACTTTGGTTCTTTGATCTTAAATAAGACTTCACCGCCCATAAAGGTGCAGCGAAACCATACAAAACAGGGTTGCTTCAGTCTATTAGCACGCTCTTGACCTGCGGTGCGACTGCTCAATGTAGCACTTTCCTAAGGAGATACACCGCGAGGGAGGTCAAGGTTAACACCGTCTAGCTGGTAGTAACCATCTAGCAGCAGTAAAGATGATTGCCATGGCAACCAGAAAACATTACAGGAAAACAGTAGGTTGGACAGACCAGCTCTAATGACTATAACTAATTAGACAGGGCTGTGTGGCACACTGTTGAACATTCTTCTTCTTATACAATTGACTAACTACATTCTTGCAGCAGCCATGTGGTGCTAACTCTTTCAGGCTTCCTCACTACACTGAAACCCAGATTGGTATTTCTTACCTATTCGGTCCACCCAGCAGTGTGAGAGCCATCTGACTGGAACAAATACCTATCGCCTCCAGCCTGCGCTCAAGAGACAGGCCCCAGCGCTCTGCAGCTGCTAGTAGACGCTTATGAAGCATGTAGGGCACACTGGGAACCACCAGGCCTGAGTCTGCAGAGGGAAAACATGACGTGACACAGACAGCATGTTAATGCCACTTTATACTTTCAGACATAGAGGAACATCAAATCATTAGCTTGTTCTGGGAAACATCTGTCCAGGTGAAATTACCTTGATAAGATAATATTAAAGGAAAATTTCTCAACCAACAATAAATGTTGTCATTAAACACTGATTAGCTATTAAAGTAATCAAGGTCAAGGTTACTTTATTAATATCCGTGGGTAGGTTTGTTTTGCAGAAAAAACAAATGATAGCGTTTGGCCGTCCTTAACAAAATACACATTGAAAAAAGACATGAGACAAAAAAGTGATCAGTATTCCATGATTCATTGATATAACAGCCAGGAAGTAAAAAGATAAGATAAAAAGCTGGATAATGTCGAGCTCTATGTAAAAGTCTGGCAACTGCTAATTGGTAAATATATTCCACAGGTGACTTTTCCATTTAAAAAGTTCCATCTAACATGCTGACATTTTAACAGCAGGTTGACATTGTGATAAAATAAACAGCAGCGGGTATATTTCATATATGCAGAAATCTTAAATTCCAAAATTTGTCACCCAAAATTGCTGATTCACACACATGTATGTCTGCATTCACTGGAACGGGCAAATGCCTCAGACTCAAGCTCACACATACTACACCTGAATTGTAATACATCTTATAAGTTTTACATCATTTTTAAATGTATCTTCATCAGTGCACCTTGAAAAACAGCAGCTGGAGCAGAAGTCAAACCCAGAAACCAGACCTCTCAGGTGATAACAAATATTGGTCCACAGATAAACCCTGTTCCGGGCTATCAGGGGGTGGTAGATCTGTGTAAGCAACACAGACCCTACTGTGAGCAAAGCCATTCCTTGGGGGAAAGCCCTTCCTCCTCCTGCTGACCTGATCTTGTTCCCATCAGGGAAGATTCTCCATTTCCTCTCCTGTTTGTCACTGCTGTCTGTGGCAACAAAGGGAAGATTGGCAGCCTTTACAAAACATGACAAACATGAGGCAGTCAGAGTGAGACGCCTATTCCCCACGGGCCCTGAGTTCACACGCACCATCACATGGTTTTTGACCAATCCACAACCCTGAGCCGTGGGACGGGGCTGCACTGGGCTGGACCCCCCACACTCGCTGCCGCCTCAGTCAAAACATACAGCAGGTTAGCGTGACAAAAACGGGGACAAACATCATACACCTATGAACACCTGCACCTGTATCCCAACAGCTTGTGGTGAGAGATTGGAGGAGACTAAATACAGGAGAGGCATGCTGGTGACTGGGCTAAAGAACTGATTCTATTCAGATTCTCAAAATATACTGTTGGCTCATCTGGTAAAGGCTACCTACCTACAACATCATTCATCAGATATACATGTTTAATTCTCAGCATATTCTCCATATAGAACTGAGTGACTAATTTTAAAATTAACTTTTTTCAATTCTTTGATGAAGCACTTTTTGGTATATAATGAGAAATTTGGGGGCAGACTTATTTTTTAAACAAGAAAGCAATGCTATGATTTTAGCAAGCATGTCATTTTTCAGAGGTTTGCTTGGTTGACCAATGAGTAAACTGCCTTTTCTTGTACTTTTCCTGCAGAAATAAGATTTGTTAGCAACACTAAATCAGTGGCACAGAAGCAGTCTCAGCTGGACGAAACACAAAGGTATAAAAGTAAATCAGAAATGATCAGTACTCCCTCAACTGCTAAGTTGTCCTGAAGGAGGATGCTTGAGCTCTCACTGGCCAGTGGGTCACGTTGTATGAGGCAGTTGCTGCATGAACAAGTGTCTGTGTACAGGACGGTGATGGAACAACTTTTCAATTCATATACAAAAATGATTCTCCTCTGGCAGGTTTAAGAGATCTAGAGTAAAAATAGAGAGCAATGCATTGGCCAATATTGATATTTAGAGAACACAAAGATTTTTTATTAATGATCACTTGAATTTGCTCTGAACGTTTTGTCCATTCAAACATATTTTCGAAACACAAGTGCTCTCTGTGAGGACGTCACTGTTTGACCGTCCCAATGTGTATGTTTGATATTTCTGTGGTGCAGTTTGTTCTTACTTACCAGTCAACATGTGAATGCCAATACAATGTATTTGAATAGGCTAATATTAGGAAGTACGTCTGTCCAGATGTTCAAACTCCCAGAAAAGAAAACCAAAATAAACAAAAAACCTGTGTTACATAGACCCAACATTGGGTTGCATTGTTCTCATTTTCCAGAAAAAGGTGGTTGTTTTTAAAAGTCCCCCACATTTTAACAGATTTTGGTAAAACAGCGTTCTCCTATTATGCACCATGGTCATGGAATAACCTTCAAAAAACTCTTAAACTAGAAACATTCACATCCATTAATGAGTTTAAGAGCATCACAAAGAATACAGTAAAAGAGGAATGTTACTGTTTTTCCTGAGAGGCCACTGTCCTTGAATAGCTGTCAATCTGTTTTATTGTTTTACTCTTCATTTGTGTATCATGTATCTGTTTTATATTAGTTTTTTGACTTTGTATGGCTGCTACCTTGTCCAGGTCTCCCTTGTAAAAGAGATTTCTAATCTCAATGGGACTTCCTGGTTAAATAAAGGAAAAAATATATATATATATTTAAAAAAAGGTAATGAGAACTGTGCCACTGTTTAGCTTTTGTATAGTGAATATTATTAGCAGGCCAGATTTCTAGTCACTCCAGTGATCGATATCTTTAAAACGTTGATTTCCGAAGGTACATTTGATTATCTAGTACACCTTTTCCTTTGTAAATCTCTTAAATCTCCATGTCTTTATGTGTCTATCATATCGTGTCACCCAACCTTGTCAGAATTGTTCTCCTCTATGTATTTTTGAATAACTGTATTACATAACTACAATTCAGCCTTTTATCGCTGTAAAAACTGAAGTGTGTGGAAACCTTTAAAGCGCCCGAGCTAATCCTCAGCTGTCTATTGCCTGTGGCACATTAGAAGGGTAATGAAAGTCAAGCTGGGGGAACTGCACGGCTCAGGATCCCTTTGATAAATAAAGCTGCTGGGAGGCAGTTAAGTCCTTAATGGCCTCCAACAGATCTCTGGCCTGGTAGCTGAGAACTTGGTGGCCTTACTGGTGTGCACAAATTCACACTGACACACACACACACACACACACACACACACACATGCCAGCACACACCTCATCCTACAACACACTCACAACAAGCTGTTTTACAAAGACACATACGCCCACAACTTCTCACCCAGGCATGCAACACGGTCAGAGTGGCACACACATTCTCCCACGCAACACACACACACACACACTCACACACACACCCTCATACACAAGATAATTACACATAAACACAGAGACTCATGCCGTGCCTGACTGAAATTCTTGCTTATCTTTAGGTTAGTCCCGCTCCCCTCCCACCATTCTTTTATTGATACCGCACAATAACTGCTAATATTTTTCAGTGGGCAACAGAAATGTGGAACACGCCAATCCTCATGTGAGCGATAAGCACAGGAAAGTCAACTGCTTCTTGTCATGCAAAGTGCTGCGCTGAGTGCCAAGCTCAGAGGAAGTGGGAGTTGCACTAGTATGCACTAATTACTTTTCAACCATCCCACCAGGTGCGCCTCTTAATAACTCTCTTGCTGAAGTTGCCGCTACCAAAACTACCCCCCCTTCCCTCTCCTGCACACACGCCATCTCCTCCTCCCTGACACTCTCACACACATGCAGTAATTTATGTACACACCCACTCTCGATGTGGTGCGAAAACAAACTCAGTAGTCAACTAGCTCAACCGGGTAGCCATGAGTTTGCAGCAGCAGCAGCACTAAAATAAACTGAGCTGGAAGCAATCCTTCAAGCATGACAAGGAAACCGACGGGACTGAAAGCAATACACGCTGGCTGGATATGGGCCATGAGTGACTAAGGCTTGCACTGGGACAGGGAGGGTCAGACGAGGCTGTTTCATTCACACAAGAGTTGCAGAGGTAGCAAGTTGGGGTGACAGTTCATTGGGGCACAGAACAAAAAGCTTCATGCAGTGATTTGTTAGACTACGTTTTATCATTCTGGTGATATGTTTGGTGCTAACAGCTCCTTTTTGCAGCTTTCTTCACCCATAGATCAAAAATTTATACAAATTGTATCTGTTGAAAGTCTGAATATTGAATCTCTGCAAAATCAGAAAGTGACAGTGAGCAAGATTTTTTTTTCTTGCACTGAGTTTTTAATTTTGTGCACCTGGAGTTAAAGAACTTTGCGGTGAATGAGGCTCCATCTAGTGAAATTAAAATGAATTCAAAATTATTTCCAAAGATTAATAACAGTTTAAAGCCTAAAATGCATGCATACCTAACGTGCACGATGATCTCTGCGTCTCTATGCCCCTATGTGCTGGTCTTTTCTTTACCTGACAGAATGCAGTTCATGGTGGTTGACATCTATCTAAGGATCATTGCATTAGATGGGTCAAACCGCACAGTAATGATGCCGTATTTGTATTTGCTTTCTCTAAAGCGACATGGCATAAATAAATGAATAAAAGAATAGCAGGTAAACCGGCTGACATTTGACTTGGTTGCACTATGCCTTGCGGTCTGGCTTGTTTGCACTGAGGTTTCACTGCAGCAAGATAATAGCAGAGCTAAACTTACACAGACTGCAACTTTTACAATAAACAATGGACTATAGAAACAGGCCTGTAAAATCCCCATGCCAGCATGTTATGTCAACCTAACCTACAGCTGGGCACTTTGTTTTGCTTTCTGTATTCTCCTATTGTTGATTTATCTGTTTACTGGCAAAGATTCCAGGTCAAGAGCTCTGCGGTTGTTCCTGCTTCAGAGGTGCTGTTTATGTAAGGCCGTACGGCGGCATGCTAATTACAGAGTACAGAGGATGGGGATTATGATGACAGCCCTGGGAAGCAGATCTGCCTGCACGGTAAGAAAAGGAGGCTCGGCTTGGCAGCTGTCTGCTGAATGGCAGACAGCTGCTTCTACTGAACTCTGCTATGTCACTACAATCGGATAGACAGTCTGGGGAAAAAAATCCTAGAAACACCATCAACACAACCACATTGTCGCCCCTACAGTCGAGTGAATAAGTAGCTAAAAGTGGTATCTAACATAATCTTTGCCCCAGTAATCCTACTCCTGCTTATCTTCAAACAGTGCAGAAGTACTGCATGAATCATGAATGGTGAGCAAAATCACTTCAGATTTAAAGGACACCAACACCATGTGAAAACAGAGTTTATCTATACGTAATACACCGTGTTTTTAAATCCACTTTGTCACCAGCCCACCTTATTCTGCTGTCAACACAAAATGACAGAATCATATTTTACGAAGGAGATAATTCAGAAGCAAACCTTGACCAATCATGAAAAAAGCTTTTACTGAGCATCACTGGAGCAAATTTGTCCAATATATACTTTCCTCAAGATCTTACTCTACATTAGCCCTGTGAACTATTTAAAGAGCAACTTGCAGGTTGAATTGTTTTCAAAATTTACACTTAATATTTCTTGGAAATTATTGTTTGAAAAGTTAATGAATGATTTAATGGGACATACAAACATATGTAAGGGAAACATAAGGGAGTCATCTCTGCCTCAGTGCACTGTGCAGTAGTCGGTGTGAGACTGAGCAGCTGTGACTTAGAAAGTTTGTCTTCTTTGCGATTAATTTTGCATTTTGCAATTTTTCATTACATTGATTTCTTGTGTTTATGCACGTTGCACAAACTCCAGCCTGTCAGGACTTTAAGTCCACACTCTTCCTAACAGCTGTTTTTTTGCCCTAGGCAGTTTTGTGCAGGTAAAGAGTGGGAACTTCACTGCTGCAACTGTAACAAAGAACATTGTTGTGGGCAGCGGTCATTTCAGGCAGCAGATTGTGTTTGTGGAGACATGATGGAGCTCTGGACAGGATGTGTGCGACTGATAGCTGGTGCAGTTCATTCAGTTCCATCATGAGGAGCAGCGTCGCCAGGAACAATGGCTACAGATCTGACAAAGATTTAACTTAACACAAATAGTGTGCTGCAAGTCCTTGTTTATGTTCAGAAGCTTCCAAATTATTTATCTCTCTCCTACTTCTCTCTCTCATGTGGCACAGTAAAACACACTGTCAGTTTCTGTTAGACAAACAAGCCATGACCCCAGCTTACCCTGGACACTGTTTCTCCTAATCCTTGCCGGGTCATTGTGTCTGTGACACCCAGCAGGCTCAATACTGTAAATCTGTGTTACATTATATGTGTATGAATATACATTTCCACCTCGTCGGTGTCAAAACTACTGTTAGGATCCATATTTCTTACTGTTAAACTGGACCTAGCTTGGCTGCTCTCCTTTTGTAATGTCAAAACTAACGTGTGTGTTTTGGGGAGGACATAAAATTCCATTACAACTACTCTAAATGTCACTGCAGTGAATATATCGACACGTTTTTATCTTCAACTTCATTTTCCTACAAAGCAATTCACTGACATCTGAAATTAATCTTTTTACCACAAGAAGCTGGGGTTTCATCCTGCTAGCTGTGGTGCAACACCTACACACTGATACCATACTGACACATCACACCACTCAGTCCTTTCTCCATTACTACCCACCCTCCACTGTTTCACTTCCGACAGAGTGGCCCGATACTAAAGGCTCACACCTTGGACTCAGAGGCTTGTGCTTGAATGCCATTTACTTATCTTGTGTCAGTATTAACCAGTTATGTAACACCCCTCTAGTGAGCCAGTTTGAGAAACGACAAGGTCATCATTTCTGTGGGCTTATACCAGAGGTGGTGTTGAAGGTCATGATAAACAGTAACCAGGGGTATACGCTGCCAATCAGCAATTCAGGGTGAACTCTCTCCGACCAATGGGAGAAATGAGCGTCACGTCTACTGTGAGCCCCTCTTTATAGCACATGTTGTTTTTCTCGTGGTGTTCAATAGAAAGAGACACTGCAGCACATTCCTCGCAGTACTGAGAGCCTATTTAGTGCTCAGTATCAGGTATAAAAAAAAGAAAAGTTTAGCATATTTCACCTTTTGGAAAGAGCTGTGACTGAGCTTCCCAACTGCGCTTGTCAAAACAGCGTTATTACATAACCAGATGGTACTCCTGGCCAAAGTTGAAACACAGTGTTCTTCCACTGAGCACTACTCTGTCCAAGACAAACTGTGTTCACAAAGCTGACATGATCACTGATAAAACGTCCCAAAGACGGACTTCATTTCATCTCATGCTAACTATCTCATGTGGAATTAAACCAGGGTGACTGAGTAAAATCCTCCTCTAAAGCAGGAGAATGTAGTAGGCGGGTGAGAGGGGTGCTGGGATTGTCGGAACACCAAACAACATCTTTATGGTTCTTTTATTTTCCTCTTATCTCAAATATAAAACGTCTTATCCGCACACAATTTGAACTTAATCTATGTGCTTTGACGAATAAAGAATCTGCTGCAATGCCACTAATAAAATGTTTTTTTTGTTTTTTTTTAATTTATCCAAGAAGATTGAAAATTAGCTGAACTGTTTCAATAAATTTGGATTTTTAGTATAATTTCAACCAATGACCAAACTAACAGTGGGTTGCGAGTCTGTCTCTCAGTACTTTCTGAACCTGTCACTGGCAATCAACCATAAACCTCCTACTGTGTCCCGCTGACAATTTCTATCAATTAAAAATGGTCAAAAAATATCTAAATGTATTTTATTTTAAGTTGTATAAGGTAATTTTATACAAACATGACTGAAACAGGAGCAACAGTGTCTAAGATGGTAATAATTTTCATCTGCTGACTGGGTTCTCCAGTGAGAGTGTTCACAACAGCTGCACAGTGTATGTGTGATTTGCTCAACACAAACTACAGTTGTGTTGTTTGTGATTATGAAGAGACATGTCAGACATGCTTATGTGTGTTTAAGGTAGAAATAAGTTGAATGGTTTTCATAAAGTTAGTGACAATAGGAAAAGCCTAACATTAAAATAGAAGATTTTTTTTAGACTGTTTCTTGATTTCTTTCCAGCACACTACACCCTAATTCTTCATGTCAAAATCAGCTGGACAGTCAAGGACATGATTCAACAATTGTATTCTCAAATTAAGAATTTCAATATTTGTTGGTTTTCTATCATATTCACTGACAACACTACATGTACACAAACATAAACGGTAATGAACATATGAGGAGTGTCAGAAAAGTTTCAGAACTGGTGTCACAAAAGATATATTTCAAATCCAAGCTACAAACTACAAGTTTCACCTTTCCAAGTAATCACCCTGGAGTCTAACACACTTTCCCAGCCTTCTCTGCCACGCCGCCATGCACTCCTGGAAGGATTCTTCAGGAATCCTCCGCAGCTCCGTCGTCACAGCCATCTTGACGTCGTCCACGTCTTAAAAATGCGTCCCCTTGATGACCCCCTTGAGCTTGGAGAAGAGGAAAAAATCCCATGGAGTGAGTAGGAAGGTTGCTCCAGCATGGAGATGTTCTTCTCAGCCAGGAACTGTCAGATGCTCAGGGCATTGTGAGCAGGCGCGTTGTCATGGTGAAACAGCCACGACTTGTCCTGCCACAACTCTCACCTCTTCTCGTACACTGAACGAAGCAAACGCTGCAGGATGTCTTTGTAGACGTGCTGGTTGATCGTCTGAAGGGGAAAACTGGTAGTTTGCAGTTTGGGTGTGAAATATGTCTTTTGTGACACCAGTCCTGGAACTTTTCTGACACACCTCGTACATGACATTCTACCTCCTACATGTTAGTAAACGTATGTGTGCATCTTCTTACCAGTACAGTATTCTTTGCCCCCATGCTCTGGTGTTGTTATCTGTCTGTATATGACTGGCTTCCCCTCCAGAATATTCTCGTCATGGCGATAGGACAGAGGCTTCTGCTCGGCCTGTGTGCTGTGAAGCTGCGCCTTGTTGTTGCGGCTGCTGATACCGTCGATCTGGGAGAAGATGGCAGCCTTGTCGAACAGAGCCAGGTTTCCCTCGAAGTCAAAATCAGTGTCGAGGTCCTTGTCCGTCCCGTCACCAAAGCACTCGTCATCCTTTGACCTCACCGGCCCTCCAGCAGCTCCGTTCCTCACAGTAGGTTTCCTCGGCATGGCCTGCGTTGCCCCTCTGCTGTTGGATGAACCTGCAGGTGCTGTGGAACAGAGAGACTTTAAAATATAGGTAAAAACACAAGGGGTTGGGTTTGATAGTAATTTTCAGACTGCTTGTTGTGCACAAGACAAACACAAAAACTAACCTAATTTTCTGCTTAAGTTTCATGACTTGCATGCATAAAAGAGGACTTTGTGTGGAACAATGCTGGCAGAGATACAATCTAAATATTAGATTCTCTCAGCTTGCATATCCATCATATTAGCCTCTTACTTGAGAAAACTCTGACATTTGAATGGTCATCACACTACACACACACTTCACATCCTTATGCACATCATATTACTGTAATAATTTTCTAGTTGAACAATAAGTTTCTTCTGGCTAGAAATGGCAAAAAGAAAGTGTCAAAACAAAGTAAGACATTGTATTGGTGATGTTAACGATGGATTTGAACTATTTCTGGGTTGTGGGGGGGGGTTTTTTGAGTCTTTTGCAAAAAAAAATGACATGCAAAATCATTTAAAAAAATCATTTTCTTCCACAGTAACCAGTTGCAAAGCCTTTATTTGCCACCACAACCACTTAACAGTTCTTATAATTTGTAACAAGCTTTCTGTTTGTCTGCACCGGGATTTTGTTCCACTCCTCTTTTGCGATGATCTCCAGGTCTTTGAGGTTGGAAGGCTTCCTTGCCAACACTCTGGTCTTCAGCTGTCTCCACAGATTCTTGTTGGAATTCAGATCTGGACTCTGACTGACTCCATTATGTTCCTATTGTTTCTGCTAACCATTTCTTTTTCAGATCATTGTCTTGTTGGAGGGTCCAATGCTGCCCATGGCCACGTTTTTTTTGTACCTGATGACTAATTTGGGGCAGGTTTTGGTTAAATGTTAAAAAATAGAAACAAATAAATAAAAATTACCAATAGCATCTCAAACACAATATGTTGCTGCAGGAGGGGTTGGCAAAGACTTCTCAAAAATAGCAGATCCTATTTTATTGAAATTTGTGCAACAAAATGTCACCTTATAGAAAAAGTGGTAAAAAAGTGGAAAGATATTCAATCATGTATGTTTGACATTTTAAAAATATAAATAAATAATAACAAAGATAATACGACAGGAAAGGCAGCTTCACTTCACTGGGATGTTAAGGGCAGTGAAAAAGGTTCCTAGCAAAATGTAATTTTACTCCAATTTTTATGCACAAGAAAATTTCCCAAAATACAATTTGAGATAAACAATAAAATTAATAACACATAATATGTATTATGGGTTGCCCAGACTAAACTTTAGTTCAAGACGGGGAGCAAGAGGCGCTGCTCTGAGCGGCCACAGCCCTGTTTTGATTTTAAATATACATTCGTTCTTAATATATTTTCTACCTGTCAGCACGGCTCACATCCTAATCACCTCTGAAAGAAGCTCTGAGCTGTCATACTAAACAGTAAGTCACTGTGTGGTACTTGGTATAATCCACACACAAAAAGTTCCTGCGCTCAGCAGTTTTAAATTCTGACTTGATGGTTGTAACTCCTTTAACCACATGTAGCTCGGACTGAAAACTCTTCTCAATCTCTCACGGTTAGTTACGAAAACCCCACTACCGAGAACAAAACACCACTGACACACAAAACATACAATGGCCGACTGAGCGGTGCTCAATAAAGTGTGCATACATGTAAGCACAAACAAAAAAACAAAATGAACCAAGAACAAAAAAAAGAAAAACTGGAAAAACCTGGCCTTCAACCCTAACCATCCAGAGCTCTCACGCTAACCAGGAGACAGAGAGGCACAGTCGCACGCTACTGTCAGTGTGACAACTAAGGTACTTTGGCCTCTCTCACGCAAGACACTGGGAGGCTCAGTCATAGTACACTGGCGTTGCTACAAAGCTGCAAACAAACTGTGAGCTAAATTGAGGCCTGGCTCAGCATAAAAATATAGTCTTACAACCACCAAGTGGGACTGATTTCAGCTGGGGGTGTGTCAACATGCAGTCACGATTCTACCAGTGCACTCAAAAATCATAATATTCATGTGTCTTGTTCACCCTTAAAGACAGACAAGTCACTCCCCGACACAGACAAGTTAACTCATGAGTGTGAATAAGTTCTGTGCTAATTGTAATCAATTCTAAGTAGCAAACAATGCATCCAGCAGGTTTGGAGAAGGTGGTGGGTTAGTGGCTCACCTGTGTGAACAGGGATACAGGCTGCCGGCCTTATTACCACAAGCCAACAATGGCTTTATTTACAAGGAAGTGTTTTGTCATGCTATGAATCAAAAATCTGAATAACCTGGGCAGAGCTCCAAGTCAAACAGGCTAATGAATAACAACTACACAGACAGTGAACTTCACTGATTTCAGTTTAGACAAACTTACCACCACAAATTAGTACAATGACAGAGGCCAGGAATATTTCAAACTGAAATATGGGTTATGGTAAAATTGGACCGCTGCACACATAATAATAAAAATCACAGAGCAAAACTTTAACAAGCGATATAATTAGGCACAATGTTTGTGTTTTTAAGTCATCTCTGTGCTTTGCCATTGAACTTTTTGTCACAGCAGTTCCACACCTGAAAATGCAATTTTCCATCATCTCATTTAAAATAAAAATTCTAATGATCACGAATAATCACTTACAAGCAAGAACAAGGGAGCTTACAAGGAAAAATCAACTACTGTGAAAAAAATGTGGCAATAAACATGATGTAGACTGTAACAGCCCAGGTTTTATATGCTAAATGCACAATTCTTAGGCAGGTGAGTATTCTGATCTTAACTTTATTTTTATGCACATTTTCCAGATCTCAGCTAATATGTACAGTATTTGTGTAAGGGACGGTGCGGCCTAAAGTGATACACAACTTCTTTTAACGTGTGCATAATTAGAGGCAGCTTCATTACCTTTAGCTAAATTGGGCTCATATATACATTTAACTGACAGTGAAAAGTAAAAAAAAAAAAAAAAAAAAGACAGAGAGAAAAAAAGTGTCTTTCAGTCAGATGCAACACTCAACTTGAATTAGTTGAACAATTGAAGTGTAACCACCACACAATCAAATGTTCAGCTGCAAAAACTCAACAGAGTTACAATAAATGCATGCAAGAAGATGTAAATCAACTGCAAACGACTTGAGACAAAGTGAATGTGGAGCTAACAGGAAGTCATTATCCTGCTGTGCAACCCTGGTCCACAACTGCACCGTGTCCAGCAGGACGGGCGACCGATTAAAAGTCACAAGTTGAAGCGTCGACATCGTGCCAAGATGGACCACAAGTCAGATTTTTCACAGGTTTTAAGTACAGACGAAATGAGAGTGACTCTTTACAGAACAGATGGATGAGCCTGTAGCTGGATCACCAATAAACACAAGGCCACATAGAGTCTGGCACCAGCAGGGTGGAGGAGGAGCATTGGTACAAATCTACTGCCAGTTTTTTGGGAGATTCTTTCTTTAAGCAGCTGTCTACAAACACGTCAGTGGCATTCAAGAAGTCTAGAATCTTTCTGCAGGCCAATGCTCCAGCTCACGCATTCAAGTGCGCCACTGGTTGGCTGCCAGCTAAGTCCTCAATGATGACTGAATAATGACTTGGACCCTTTCCTCATCTGACCTACAGTCTATTATGAACTGGCAGGCTCTTCTCAAATGTTAGATTTACAGTAAGGGAACACAATCCACCTCTTTGTACAGCTGTTGAGAGGCTGTAGTTGCTGCTTCAATGAAAGCTGAACGTGTAGAAATCAACAATCTAACAATTCGTGCCAGAAGCGTGGCTATTTCTGAAAATCATTTCCACTTTGTAGTACTTATTTGTTTCCTTAAAAAACTGAGATTAAACAAGTGACTTAGGAGAAAATCTTTTTGAAATGTGGCTGCTTAATAATTGTGCACACTGATCTACACTGTTGCCCATAAAGTTGGAATAATTTCAGACACATTCCTCTTTTTATTTCTATTGATACACATCAGTGATCACTTTTGCTCAGGTTCAGTGATTACATACTGAGTCCCAGTTACCAGGTGATACAAATTCTGACTTTGGGATCTGACTGAAGAGTGGGACGTCCTGCCCATTGACACCAACAAAGAGCTGGTGGACAGACTGCCACCATGTCTTAACACACTGATCCGTGTCAGGGGTGGCCATACTCGATATTAGTGACTGAGTGACATTTGAAAGAGTAATATTGGACATTCTAATGCATGAAATCCCCTCGAGTATGTGTTTACTTTAAACTGACCACGTTGAAAAATTAAAAAAAATAAAAAACCTTAGTCCTATTGTTCAATACCCCCAATATTGTTTAAGCCTGAATGCACAGTTTGCAAAAGTTAACTGAGGTTTATTTTTCTTACTGTGGTGTTTATTGTATGTATATTATGATATCATACAATAAATCGCATTTTCGCAATCACTTCATGAGAAGCGGTGAAAAAACATTTTAATTCAACTTTATGGGAAACAGTGTCTGTACTGTTGAGGAAGACAAATCTCAACATTTCCCTTGTCAAACATTCAGGTTTCAGGGTCAGTTGTATTTTGCATTGAGTGCCGTCATTGTATTTGTTCAGAAATAAATTTAAACCCAAGACATCTGGTTTGTCTAATAACTGTACATGCAGTGTACCCTGTCACTATAGCCCCCAGGGGGGTAAATATCAAAAACAAGCCTGAAGTGACATGAAGTCATGGAAACCATAGTGTGTCAGCAGCCTTCAGTGGTTCACTGGTTCAAATGGAAGCGGGAGCAGAGCTGGTGGTGGGAGTACAGTAAGAATACAAATAAACACAAGTAAGGCTGACAATTTGAGTTCATTACCATATATAAAACACTGACGTGTTGCTGGTTTGAATGAGTCAACCTGCTGGGAAACCTCAATTGAGGACATGAATTTGCAAAGTTCTGCATCACCTCAGTAACTCCAGCTGGCGTGCTGTGACAAAGCTTTTAAATCACACTTAAACACACTATGTGGTTAACAGTGGAAGCCTGTAATCAAACTGGGATGCTCTCTGCATGAATGTGTGGAGTTGTGTGAATGTTAAGCCAAACAAATCCTGGATGGGAAGCAAAATCTTTCCAAAGTATATACAGTAAAGGCTGAAAAATTCTGAAGGAAGGGTTTATGGGAAAACACTAAGCTGGATATGATTTCACTCCACATACAGAAGCAGCTTGCTGGTAACGGGAACACTTTTCATAAGGGCAAAGTCTGGAGCTGCTCTTCCAAAATGCCAGTTTAATAGGATCTGTTTGAGTGTAATGGAATTTGACTGTGCTTCTGGAAGCCTACACGTCCTTCTCAACAGCGCTCGGTTTCTAGATTCCCATTCTACTCTCCCAGAAAGATCAATGGCAGATATTCACAAACCATTTCTGGAATCCGTGATCTTGTATAAGCAACAGCCCACCCTGCTTTCCCCTCTTTGTGGCCGGGGGCTTCTTGTGAGCATGGCATTGCGTGTGAAAGGACCAGCCCTGCCCAAGCCACTCAGCACTTTGGCCCCATGCAATTTGGGCATTAGCTCCCTGGCCACCAGCCTGAGAGCTAGAGATTAAAATAAAAACTCAAAAGGTAAACATTGCCTCCACAATTGATATCGCTTTGGCCTTCCGAGCACACTGGGACAACATGGCTTCCTGTCGGGGAGGGGGCGTCGGTTTCCTGTGCTGGCCAAGAGCGAGCGAGAGAAAGGAGATGGGGAGAGAGAGAGGACACCAAGGCACGAATACCAGGCTTTACATAACCTTCTCTTTAGGAGCAGACACCGAGAGGGAGGGGGAATGTTTATTGATTTTAGTCACACACATATTGTAAAGAGGAACTTTGGTACAAGCGTTTAGCACGCTATGGGAATCTTAGGGGGGGGAGTTACAACGAGACACTGTTTGGTTCCAAGCTCATGTTTCCTCAGAACTAGTGACACACAGGAAGGTACAGAGGCTGGGCTGACAAGTTGCTATGAGTCTTACTGACTTACTCAATAAATGAAATGAAATCAAATTAAATTAAATGTGAAAAAAAAAAAAACAGAGCGTGCAGGTTTAATTTTCTGTGCACAGGAGGTCATTTTTACAACCACGCTGAACAATATCACAAAGTGACCATCAGCCAAAGTTTTGACCTCCAGCTCCTCCATTGTTCGGTGATCCTGAGTGTGAAAGTGAACTGACTTTAACTGATTGCTGCAGAGGCCACAGAGCTGTCCGTGCAGACTTCCTGCGACTGAGTCTTGACTAGAGGAAATGCTGTTTTTAAACTTTTATCTGATCAGGAAGGTTGAGCAACACATTCTGATTTTTATAGCTACGAGTACAACTTGGGACAGAGAATGCAGATTTCAGTATCAGAGCAGCAGAGCGGTGCTGACAGTTTACTATATTTGATTTAGGTTTTTATTACACCACATTTTGAATTTTAAAGGTTCACTTCAATCAACATAAAGGCAGTAGAGTAAAACTGAAGATTATATAATTAGCTTTTTTATCACTTAAAATATCAACATGGTCGATATTGTACAGGTTTAAAAAACAAACTATAAAATATCAAAACAGCACAAAAAAAAAACACCCAGCTAATGAGCCACACAGATATCCGTACAGAGTTGAATCAACCCCTCTACTAAGCTGCAGTATAAACAATAATAAAGGCTTCACAATGGCACAATGTTTTGGCGAGGTCCACTCCGCTTGATTGCATTCCTGTTACTTTGTCATTCATTTCTTTAGACTATTGGACGAGTTGGTCACATAAACAACACTAAACAAAACCTCATATTATCTTAACTGCATTAAAGTTAATTCCATCCTTTTGATTTTTTTTTTTCCACCACAGCTTAGTAGTGGCATATTCCAGCTTTGTTTGGACATGGGTACTGGGACTTTTATTTTGGAGTGATTCATCATCCTGATTGTAGGACACGGAATCTGTGGCAGAAAATAACACTAGTTTCGTAAAAATGCTGAATTTAGGCATGTCTAAAAAAAAAAAAAAACTACAGCTTGCAGCTTGCTTGGGAAAATACTGCCCAATTAAACGAGTCTATATTTTGCACATTTACAAATTAATAGTTGTATTTTTGGGGTCTACTACAATGTGTTTACATGTTTTTAAAAACATGCTGTACAAAAAGCACATTATTTTTCTCATGCTCTCTTCTCACTCTGTCTGACATTCTCTATTTCAGCTCCTCTCTCTTTAAGCTCAATCTTTTCTGATTAGTCAGCTGGCTGGACAAAAGCGAGGTAAAGTTTGCTATGTACCATAACCCCAGATCTCTGAATATGGTAGGAAAGACTTAGCTCTAGCAGAAGCAGCTTTAGTAAGAAAATACTATCAGACTGAAAGGAAGCTAGTTTGTGGATGTACCGATCTACCTGCTCGGTGGGTTTTAGTAAAAAAAAAATCTGGACTTCAAATGAGGTATTTCATTACCTAGGTATGAGCTATTTAGGTATGGAGCAGTGTTTTCTGTGAGAGACTAACTCCCTTTGGCGTGGACTTGACTTTGTAAGTTTACCGAGCGTTTACATGCTCAAAAAGGAAAAACCAAAAAGCACAATATGGTCTCTTAGAAGAATGAAATTATATATTTGTGTCGCATTTTAAAGATTAACTTCTTTAGTAAAAATGAATAGGCCTAAGGCTGGAAGTCCCATGTGAGCTAGACGGGTCAGAAAAGGGCTGCTGTGCTACACTGCAGTTCATCATGACGTCACCAAACAGCCGAGGTCAAAGCAGACTACACATTTCCACATCACACTGATGCCTTTTTAGATCAGGACAGGATTTGAAAGTAGCTGTGATCTCACAAACCCTACTTCCAGTGTAAAACTCTACACAGGTTATTCTGTACAGTGACGGATCCATTGGAAGCAAAGCTGAACAAAGTACATTTCTGTGGAAAGAGATGTCACAGAAAAGCCTTTGAGTGGCATCGGAGTGCTGTGATTTGACACACATGTAGGGTATGAAATGGAATTAATCATCTGACATCTGAAACTTTTTTTTTAACCTCAAACGATTTGATCTGTTTTGAAAACTGACTTCCTTTTTATCGTAGGCTGGAGAACTATTATTGTGGAATCTAAAACAGTGACGTTGATTGTGTCTGCATGGTTAGCCCATCTTCAGCCTCGACTTTCTAAAAGTAATAAGAGTGACTGAGTGACACATGACAAGGTTTTGTGCCACATTTCCGTCACTGAACAATATTTATGTTCTGCTCATCAAAAGAAGAGCACTGTACGGCCAGTGTTGTGGTAAATTCCTGCTGTGTCATGACTCACAATATGCAACAATAGTCTTTTTCTGTGGTTTGAGACCGAAGAAATGCAGCATCACTGTGAATAAGCAAAAGCCTTAAATAAACTGGGCTTCCCCATCTTAAGAAATGTTTGGGAACCTGTCTTAATATTTCACAACAATTGTTAAATAACCTTTATGTCTTATTGTGTCACGCTGCACAACCACAATGTTCAATTGTTCCAGTTTGAGCTGCTGATACTTTGTTAAGGTCACAGTGATAAAAGATCATTCTGTTATCTGCTGCCAGTGCTGCTAATAAACTAACCTCACGTCTGGAGAGCATGGTTCCATGTGAACCGATCATCATTATCATTATGCAATCATAATAACAATGGACACTGAGGTTAATTGCATAAACAATCTTAACCAGCTGAATCATTCTAACGCCAGCTAAAGAAAGTACATTTTGAACATTGTACTCTCTTCAGCTTGACAAAACAACTTGCGACTAAACTACGGCCAATTGATGACAAATGATTACGTAGCATTCTACAGTGTTACTCATTATGCAGCATTATATAACTCTAAAAAAAACATTGCTTACTATGTTCCCTACCATTGAAAATAAACTGTGGGGTGATTCAACTTTGGGTCTCTATGCACCTACCTCTGCGTAGGATAGTGATCGGAGCAGTGCTGGACTGAACGCTGCTGCTTGTTGCATGAGAGTGAGAGGTTCTGTTGCTCTGGCGTCCTGCTGACGTGGAGCTGGGTTCTGTTGAAGCCTCCTGCCCAGAGAAGGGCTTGCTCACTGTGTTTTGAATGTCTAGGAACTTCAATTCCTTGATATCCATGGCACTAGAAGACAGATATACTGACCTTATGTGGAGCTCAAACTGTTCTGTGTTAACATGTTGGAATTGTTATTTCTTCTTATACGGTTTCTACGATTTTGTTTTCCAATTCAAAAGCACTGGACTGTCAAGTTAATGAGTAATTGAATATGTTACATCAACTTCATATTGTCTAGAGCTTTGTAACGATGAATCCTGAGCATCACGCAGAAAATTGGTGAAATCCTAGCAACACAAATCATGAATTACTTTTATATATGACTACATATAGCTGAAAAGGAGGAAAATAAAAACATTTGACTATTTACGGGGCTGTAAACATTGTCTGCAGAGATTTGTGAACACCCAGTGAAAGTGCATCTATTTTATTTGACCACATGAGAAGATACAGGTAGCATCTTTTCTCATTTCTTTTACCTGAATGTGACCTCAGGAACAGGACACTTCACCCCGTTGTGATAGGGCTGTCTCAGTGAAATGGTTTGGCTGGCGTGATCTACAGATGACACCTCTCCCTGATACACTCCCAACGCCACCCCGCAGTTAATAGACACAACACTACCCAACCAGTGTGTGGCCATTCTGCTCACCGTGACCCTGTGGTTAAAAAGAATACAAACAAAAGGTATGATACTGGGGGGCTTTAGCAGGTAGATGACATAGAAACATATAGAAACACATACATTTTATGAGCTGATTTAAAAAAATAGACTTAATATTTTAAAACTTGGCCACTTTTGGGCCATTAAATAAATCAAATAATTAACAGCTTTGTTCAATTTTATTGCGGGAAGTGTAGAAAACTGACTACAGCAAAATGATGAACTAATATAATGAACAGCATGACAACTCTTCTTTGCTTCTTCTTTGTAAAATTTGGGGGCAGTGATCAGAGTTGCTTTGAGAAAACTTGTACTTATGCACTTTTAGAAGAATATATATTAGCGTTTTTTTTGCTGTTTACTTTTATTCATTGCAGTGCCTATTTTGCTGCTGTTTCTGTTTGAAGTTATTCTCTTCTTTTACTGTGAAGCACTTTGGTCACCCTTTGGGCTGCTGTAAAGGGCTATATAAATAAACTTTGATTGATCGATTGATTTGATTAATATGACCTCAGGATTTCTAAAATCATCATCATCTGTCATCATATCTAGAGAAAAACAGTACACCACAGTACCATTTTTGGCAGCACTGAAATAAAAAATAATTCTGGAAAGCGGTGAGTTTGCAGTCAGAATGTACTGCTCATACCACTTCACCTAAAGCTTTTCATGCTTGGTTTGTACCCAGCTTGATATAACATTAGAAGGAGGCAACACAGCTTTTCAGATATAAGATTGGTATTGACCAAAAGAGTCAGAGCTCTATTCTGGAAAAAGGTCGGTCGGCTGAGTACGGGTTGATGGATTTTGGTTTCCAAAATCCAGGACACTCGGCCAATGAGATACTCAAATGATGCTCCAAGTGCACTCAAAGATGCCTTATAACTTCAATACATTTAAAGTATGCCTCTTCCAGGACTGGGATATTTTTATATATCACTTTATAAAAAAAACAACCAGGACAGGATGTAAAAAACAGGACATTTGTTCAGCCTAAGTTATCTTCAACTCTGCCCTTTGAAAAAAGTATATATGCCATAAGGGTTAAAAATTTCTTTTCTTTTACAGCATCTGTGGTATCTCCAAAGTCTATCAAGAGAAAACAGACTCAGCTCATATGGTGGAAGCACCGACACAAGTGGCCTCCTGCAGTGTCCAAATATGTCAAATAGTCTGTCAACATGTGTACATCACTCTAAGATGTACAGTTGTCCTCAAATATATTCATACCGTTCCATTAAAGAAGGAAAAAAAACATCTGTCGCTGAAATAAGTTGAAATTGACGAAAGTAATAATAAATAAAAATTGAATGAAAATCATGACATTGCTTTTGAATTGTGGTTCAACAGAAATATTAAAAAACAAACAAACGAAAAACTATCAAACAAGCATGATGGGACCCGTAAACTAATATTTAGTTGAACAACCCTTTGAGCCAATCACTGCCATCAAGTGTTTTCTGTAACACCCAATCAGACTTCTGCACCACGGCTCATCAGCCAAGTGCTCTAATTTGTCCGGGACACTTTTTTTTTTTTTCTTAATTATTCTTTTCAACCACAATTCAAAAGCATTGTCTTATATCACTAAATTATAATTTAGAAAAAAAATATTTATTATTACTTTTTTTAGTTTCCTGTTATTTGAGTGACTATTGTGGATTTTACCTTGTCTTTAATGAAAGGGTTATGAATAAATTTAAAGACGACTGTACCCTGACTGAAATGTCACCATAACACAATACAAACCTATAAATAAGATGGTGTTTATGTGTATTGCACTTCTGGGTATTTGTGTGTAATTGCACAAACACACTTGTGTGTGTTAAATGTTGTTGAAATCAATAAAGACGATGATGGACAACAAGGTCGTCATTATTATTCCGCTATGTGCCGAGAAATATTAGCTTAGCTGCCGTTTGTTTAACGGGGGTTTCGTGTGTTGCGTGAATTCGTGTAAGGCGGTCTTCAATACTGACAAGGTGAAAGGAGATAAAATAAATAAAACATCCAAGTGAGCGCAGAAAGTCGAGGAATAATCAATGGAAAGCACAACGCCCAGCTGCACAACTAAGAACTAGTATGCAGTGCTGGCTAGCTTCACGGCTAACGTTAGCTTCGCTTCAGTCCTTTGTTTGTGTCTTTTATCTAAGCGGACTGTTGGAAACTTGCAACGAGTGTCTGCTATTTAGAATACCCAGCCCGAGCATATTCAGTCGGCAAAGGATAGATTTACCTTGTCTAGAAATCTGCAGAGAGATGTCAAAGTGAGCCAGAGACCGAGCTGTTGTTTGTACCGTGTTCCGGGTTGATAAGACACGTGACTCCTTTTACCTCCCACGTGGGTTTGTTGTGATTTTTTTTTCTCTCTCTTTATTTGAAATCAGTTTATGAGAGACCTCGTGCTCAACTGGATCTTCATTTCTGTGTGTGTGTGTGCGTGTGTATTAAACAACAAGAACACGTTGATCTTTTCGTTTTTTAAATTGTATTTTTGCAGCTGATTAAACAATGCTCTGATTACAGGCCCTTACATGTTATACAATCATTAACACATTCGCCATAGAAATACAAAATTGTACAGCCTTCTCATATATTTCAAAATCGATGAAACTGTTTTGGTGTCCTGAGATGCACAGCAAAACTATTTCACCTCAAATATATACAAACACTAAAATCATAAGAATGACTTCATAAAATACAAAAAAAATAAAAAATAAAATCTTGATGTACACACAAAATCACATTTTGGGATACAAATATATAGCTTCAGTGTCTTACATCCACAGTATAATGGAATGCAAATAACAAGCTTACAAGTGTGAATTGTATCATAAGGTAATTCGTTCTCTTCAAAATCCTCTGTCACAGAAAGTAATGTCCATCCAACAGTACTTACTTTGTCCCAAAGTTGAACAAGGCATGAATAGTTTCTGATTGGAAGCAGTTTGGATTACTGGATAACACAGCAGGAAGTGTCTCCTTATACTTCACTGAGAAGCACCAGACATGTGCAAGAATCTCTCTTAGCAAACCAAAATCACGACAGAGATGGACACAAACGTCGACATCTCTGACAATCTGCAACAAGCAAACCTCACATATTTGCTTCAATGCCATTAGCTCTATGGATTACAGTTGACATCCAGTGAATTACATTCTGAGAAAGTTTCTTCTTTCACTGAGCCCTGACCTGACTGTGACCCTCACACAGCCAAGCTTTACCACTTACTGAATAACAAATTATGCATCATAAATAGTTTCACTGCTCACTACTTGCTCGCACTGTGGCTCTCAGGTGGCAGCGTTTGTGTTTCATTACGAGACCATACTCTGGAGTCATATCCACTGACTCCCCAGGCAACGTTTGGAAGTGAAGGTTCTGGATGAAGATTGCCAAGAACAGGAAGACTTCATGTCGCGCAATGACCTCGCCGATGCAACGTCGCCTTCCCAAGCCAAAAGCCACCACCTTCTCTCCCTCTGACTTGTTGACCTCAGTGCCATCGGCGCTCAGGAAACGCTCCGGGTTGAAGGAGGATGGATCTTTCCACAGCTCACTGAAAGGTGCAGAAAATGAAGAAATGAGACGCGCTGCACATAACACCCCAAAAGCATTTTGAATTACAGGTATAATCTCCTGATTCAGCTACGACACGTTGGATCTGGGGAGGGGAATGAGCTCCCAACGGGGTTCCTTTGTAGTATTACAACATGCAATATCCCTCTGCTTTAGCAGTCTTGTCTCTGTAGCACTGTACAGCTTTGGTTCTACAAAAAAAAAAAAAAACAACTTACGGATCATGGTTGATCTGCCACTGATTGATGAAGATGCAGGTGTTTTCTGGGATGAAGTAGCCATTCAGAGATGTGTCTTTTGAGGTGCTAAAAAATGAGAAAAGTGTCAGTGGTTTTACAAGTTTATGTCACATACAGGTACTTTTCTACATCCAAAAGAGAAGAACCTCACCAGTGTGGGATTGTGAAGGGCAAGAATGAGGCATGGCGAAACAGCTCCAAGATGAATGCCTCTAGTTGGGGTAATTTGGCTTTGTCAGAGAGTAGAGGAGTACGATCCAGACCTACGTTGTCCTCTGGAAATGAAACGAAAACAGCAAAACAAACTTTATTACAGATTCAGGGTCCAGATGTATTACAAGACAAAGTGAAGTTCCTACATAACTGTTTGCCGTCTAAGAACAGCTCCTTTATACTACATGCAAATTAAAGCCATGCTTATAATACACATTGTCTGTCATGTAAGATTAACTGAATATACAAGGAAGTACTTTTTAAAAAGCTGTACTTACTCAGTTCTTGGAAAAGCCTTTCCTGTATCTCTGGGTAAGCCACCAAGTACATCACTCCCCACGACAGAGCAGTGGTGACGGTGTCAAAACCTAGAAGAGAAATATTCAACAGCTCTATGAGGACACTTGTCTTTTTTCATTATGGTCACCTATGATGAGATAAATCAACATGTAAAGAAACTCAGCTTACCAGCCCCAAACAGGTCATTGACAATTCCTACAATCTTCTCATCTGACATCTGGACATTAGCATTCTCATCCAGCTTTCTGTCCTCGCAGTGATCAATGAGGGAGTCTGTAATGTCGCGGATGTTGTCCTGAAAGTAGATTATTGGGAAATTTCAATAAATCTTAAGTACACACAGACCAAAAGGGGAAGTTTCTCTAAAGAGGAATGAACTAAATAATATTTAATGAATGACTTAGTGAGTGCTGTACCTTGTTGTAGGTGGCATAGTGCTCGCTGACGATCTTTTGAACAAACGTGTAGAAGCGGTCGTTGATTTCAAGAAACCTCTTCATTGTTTTGCTTGGCAGAAAGCGAAGAAGAGGAATAAAGTCTGCTAGGTTGCCACTGCCTGCCACCTGGGAGAACTCATCACTGAGGTTCACAATACTGAGCAGCTCCTGGTCGTTGTGATCGTAGCGCCGGCCAAAGCACATGCCACAGATCACATTGGCAACGGAGACAACAATGTTGCGGAAAGGGTCAAAGCCGCCTTCAACCTTCATGGCAGTGTTGACCTGTTTGATCAGATACTTGGCTTCTTTGCAGATGTGTTCCTCCAGCATACAGGAGTACTCTGGGTCTGTGCCCTCCAGGGTGGCAAAAGAGCGCAGGGCGTTGTAGGCCAGCTTTCTACGGGCACGCCAAACGCCAGCTTTGTCTGTGCTGAAGGCCAGACTCTTGCCATCACTAACGAAGCTGAAGGAGTACAGGTCAGGTCTGCCTGCAAACTCATCCCCTTGTTTGATGAGAGCCTGTCGCACAGTCTCATTGCCACTCAGCACGACCACAGGACGCATGCCGATCTGGATCTGGAAGACGTCACCGTAGCGCTTGCTCATGGCAGTGAGACTCAGGTAAGGTTTGCTGCCTAGCTCCAGCACATTCCCAATGATAGGCAGCGGCTTTGGGCCAGGGAGACGACGGAGCCCTTTGGGAATCTCATTTTGGAAATGCTTGAGGAACAGGTAGACCAGACACATGGTGGCTATGGCCAACAGACCCTCAGATATTGACAGGGATCCAATGAGTGGCAGAATCATTAGCGCCATGGTGAGAGCTTTTTTTTTTTTTCTGGCTTCTGCACAACCTGTAAATTAAATAGGAGGGGCATTAGAGCAGTGCAGGCAGTGAGAGGGAGAAGTATTGTGCAACATGTTGACTACATGCACCATGAAGTTTGAAGTAGCTGAGAGCAGCGATATGGCATGTGTTTGTTTAACTCTATACGTTCACCAGCTGCACAACACTTTTTGCAAGTGGTAGTCTATGCAAAGTAGCAGACTGGGAACAAGTTTAAGTGTAGGTCTGGGATTATATTACCACACTATAACTCATAAAAATTAGTAAAAAGTGCAACTACAAACACCAAATACATACTTACAGAAGGCATTCTTTCAAAAATAATCTTACTCTCCTGCATTTTGTTTTTATTTCAGGTATAAATGCCCTCTCATGCATGCATATATTAAACCTACCTTTGTCAAAGGAAAGAAGAGGAACAATGCTGAGATCCCAGGAGAACTTCTCAAAACAGTGAAGATATCGTTCTGTAGACTTATTGTCCGAGTTTACTGTCTTGATGTCTGAAACAGAGAATGGACTCCTGCTTTATAGTGCGCTCCACAGCTTCATTGGCTGCTGTTCATGACGTAATCTCTCTCCCTCTCCCTCTCTCTGTTTGTCATGAATGAAGTTTGGAGCAGAAAGGTGTGTGTGTGTGTGTGTGTGTGTGTGTGTGTGTGTGTGTGTGTGTGTGTGTGTGTGAAATAAAGCTACTCGCACAAAATTGATTTGCTTCACAAAGTCTTTGATCTTCAGGTCTTTATCACCTAAATGCGTATCGTGTTTTATAGTTTATGGACGTATATGGCACAATAACCATCGCAAGCCAGTATAATTTCCATGGCTATAAAACAATTTCTGCTCTGTGATAACAGTGTTCAGCTCAATGCTTTACCTACTGTTCTACAGGTTGTTCTAACAGAGACATTGCGAACGGAATCTTGCGTTTGGGTTTCAACTTTTACGCACAATCTGTGCGTAAAAACGCTGTGATATATGATGTGCTTGATGATTTCCATCAGAAAAGTTAAAATATCGGCGCTTTCAGTTCGTCTGTGCCGACTTTATTTGGATGCAGAAACCTTAATCATCTATTTTTCATCGGATTAAACAACTGAACCCACATGTCCTGTTGTACCTGTTGAGCGCAGCGTCCGATCATTCTGTGGATAACTGCAGGGGCGTTCTTATGTTAATAAGCTGATAAAAATCGGCGAATTCTTGTCCGACCACTCAGCCACAACTTTTCTGAGGCGATATTGTGATGTTAAATCGACCTGAACCAGTATTTTCGATAAATTTGTTGTCTGCGTGGTGTGAAATGGATTTTACTGATCCAAGCTTAGTGGAGTGTTTTTGCGTAATGAGTTGAAAGATGAACAAATGTCTACAGGGAATAATCTATAAATGTGACGGTTTATTGAGTTGAAAAGAGGGCAGCAGCATGTTTGCAGGGTTTGGGGTGGTGGTGGGGGGTGGGTTGAAAACAGGCGTCTGTGACAACCTCCCAGGCGGGTTTAAGTCCTGATAAAACACTCAGATGCCATTGCGTGCTTGTACCTGTTAGTTCTCCGCTGGAGTTAAAGATTGACCAGTTGCGTGAGAGCGCAGTGATCAAACTCTCACCTCCCCTTTGAAGAGGATGCTGGGGAGAAAGGGAGGGGGGCAATCAGCCAGCACTGCTGAACAGCAAGGGTAGATGAGTTCAATACCGTTCTTCATTGTCCCCCTTTTCAACCTTTTATAACCAGATTTTCTCGGTATTTACAGCTCAAATACAGAGAGCCATTTCAGGTTTAGAAAAAAAAAGGCAAATATTGGGATAATATCTTTCTACTAATTACATTTTTTTTTACTTTAAAATTTCCACTGCTACTTTAAAAGTTTGTCAGTCAGTCATTAAGCATTTTCTATTTTGAAAAAGTCACTTTTGGTGTAAGAAATCTGTATAATACTGAATTTGGCTTTCTAATAAATATGATCACAGATTTTTTAAAAAAAAAGCTAAATCCTACTTTATCACGAATAAGAAGTTTAAATATATTTTTGTAATCTCATTTTAAGATATATTATTATTAATTATTATTTCTTCATGTAAGATTCCTCAGATTTCTTTCAATTAACATTTCCTTCAGGTAAAACGTGGAGGATGAATGTTTTAGGCAGGAATCAGTGATCATTACTTCAAGAGGTTCATTTGCTCTGAAAATGTGTCTGCTTTATGTACATGTGGAGCTCTGGAGAAACTCTACCACCTACCACTGAAGTCCTTGAAACAAATTTAAAGAGCTTCACTCAGTGAGATTTCCATCAGACCACAGTCATGACAGTGGATGGAGGATGGAATAAAGTGTGAACACACTGGACCTGATTGTCAAAAAAAAAACTTGAGAGAAAAAAAAAACAAACTTTGATGTGTTTAAATCCCCCAGGGTCTTACGATCAGAATCTCTGATGTCCAATATGACAGTATATATATATATATATTTTTTTTTGGCACGAACAAAACATAAAACATGGTCAGTGAAAGCACAGGGTTTTTTTTAAATTGAATGGGAATGTTGTGTAAAAAAACAAAAAAAAAGAAAAAGAAAAGAAAAAGAAAAATCAGTTATCACTTGGATTTGAATTTTGCAGAAAAACAAAAGGCAGGATTTTGGCTCTTATTCTAATTTTCTATGATGTGAATTTTAATTTGTCACAAAAGCACAGTGATCCTGAAACTGCTTCTCAGCCTTAATTTAAACATACAGTAAATCCATCCATGAGCTGAGCGCATAAGAAGGGAGGCAGAAGAGATGTATTATTTAAAAAAAAAAAAAAAAGCTCCCTTTTAATACACTCTGTAACTTTGCCCAAGATATGCCTCTTCCAAAATTAGATCTATTTTTTTTTTTTTGCTTGTTTGTTTTTTCCCCCAAAACCCCTAAAACCCCTCAGTATACTGAAGTTTGTCGGCTCAACATAAACCCGTTGGAACACTGTGGTCCAAAAGTTTAAGAAGCTCTAAAGTCATGAGGTAATTTTGAGTTTTAAAGGGTTACGCAGTAAAACTTTTATTCATTCATTTATTTTGCGTAATCCGCAGGGCTCGGCACAGTCCTGATCCTCCGGGACTCTGTGTTGACTCTCCGGGGACTCTCGCCGTGCGCCTCGGCGCTGCGCCTCTGGTGCTACAGGTTGCGTGAGAAGCGGAGCTGCCGTCCAGAGGGGAGGGTCTCGGTCTTCTGGACAATCCTAAATCTGCTTGGTCAAGTCACGCGAAGGCAACAGCCTCTGGAAAAGACACAAGGGTTTAAACTTGCAGAACAAAGAGCGCAGGACGCGAGACTCTCTTTTTTTCCCCTGCTTGGGCACGAAGGTGCACATATTTGCGCGCTATAGCTTCTGTAAATGCGAGGATCTTGGGGCTTTGGAGTCATGCAATCTGCCACTCAGGCTTCATTCATTGCAGTCATGCAACACGGTGGGGCCGGACTGAGCAGCCACACAGGCGAGAACCCACCAAAACAAGGCAAAAACAAGTTACGAAAACTGCAACTTAGAAACAAGGTGAACTAATCACCCTCTGTGTCACGCAGCGGCTCCCATAGTGAAGGCTGGAGTCACTGGGTAATAAATACTCATTAATACGATACTAGATGTCAGGACAGTGAAAGAAGAGGGGCTTCATTTACGGTTGTTTGTGTGCATGTGCCTGTGTGTGTGCTGCTGGTTAATGCAGCTTTTATTAAAATTTAAAAATGTTTAAAAAATAATTATACCGGGGGGAAACCTTCTGTCACTGAGCTTCATTTGTATTTATCAGTAATCTCACAGAATTACAAATGAAGGAATATTACACTCATATGCAAAATGTATCCTTCTATATACATTAACACATGATCCTTAAAGGTATAATAATTCACTAATACTATTACTATATGACTATGCTAAATCCTCTAGAAAACAAAGCAGAGCTCTTGTGCCCACCACACCCCAGGGTTAGTGTAAAAGACAATAAAGATTACCTTGCGTACGTTATATTACAGCTGCAACAATATGCCAAGCTGGGTCAGTAGGTAAAAGTATCAGCAGCGTTACAAACATGACATGAATAAACTAAAGGGAAGTGCAGAATAACTTGCGCCCATGAACCTGAATAAATCTGAAATCCAGAACAGTATCTCAAAAATAAACTCCTGTAGTGTTCAAACTTCAGTTGTTGCCGTTTTAAGACGTGTGCGTTGAGTGCCAGCGCTCCCTGGGGATGAAATTAAACCTGATTAAAGATGAATGTGATTGTGTGTGGAGCGCCTGAGGTGGGAGCTGGCTGCATTCTCAGTGAGCACTCAGGCTGCAGGAGTGTGTCAGATCACAACAGGTGAGCGGCACTCACCACTGGAGACGGAGCAACTGTAAATGCCACATAACCAGGCTGAAAACTCCCAGACATGACTGGATAAATCGACATTTTAGAGTCGTATTCTTCCATACTGTCATCCCAATTTCTGAAATGACAAAACACAACAAATAGCTGTTTTAGAGGAGGTCAAGGTGGAGCAAAATCAGAGCTGAAGTGGGACACATTTGTTTTTCTACTTAGAGAAAACTATGGGAGCCAATGGAGGAAGGATGAGGAAGCCTGGATGTGAGTCAGGGGGGGATTCCGTGGTGAGGTAGTCTACTCATTCTTATAAAGATTAAAGAGATTACAGGCCACTACACGAAGTGATCGCTACTGCTGCTGCTGCATGGATCCAAAGCTGTGTGTAGACATGACCACAGGGAGAGCGGCGGTGGGCCTTGTCAGAATCCAGAGCTGGACATTGGCCTGGAGCTTTTTTTTGGTGTTCGCTTGCCTGTGTCCATTTCAAAAAGCTTGAAAGAAAAAACACAGGAAAAAATGTTTTGCCCACAGCCATATACCTCTTAAAGAATTCTTGGACATAAAAGCAGGTGTAATGACTGTGAAGGCTGTTAGTTTCTACTCACGCAACGGCTGTCATGCACACACACCTTCAGAGGAGGTGTGTACCTCCACCTTGCCGTGTGTGTGTCTTTTCTTTGCATACCAGCACTGTCAGGAGGTAGTTTTTTTCTTTGTGGTGGTTTTAGTGATTTAGCATCAGTTGAAGAATGCGTGCACCTCCGGTTGTCATAAAGCTATAAAACCTTTTTAAAGCACGTCCATAAAAATAATAAATTCATGGTGGTGAAACCGAAAAAAAAAAAAAACACTTTCAAAACATGCTTGTTGTACTTTTTCCAAAGTTATATGGCAAGTAGCCATTCTTTAACATTTTGTATACCAGGTACTTTTTATGTTGCTTCATGCAAAATACACATCTTTAAGAGCTGCTCCATTAAAATCACTGAGCATTTGACCACCTCCTCCTTGACCAAATAAATAAACAGTTTAATTTCAGTGTGATGGTGGGGTTCTTGGATAATACTAAACACAAACCATCTGACAACCAGCTCCCCTGCTGAAACGATTTTCAGTTTTTATCTGACAAGCACTGCAGCATTGA